GACGCAATAAAAATAAAAAACGGAAATGAAAACGATTTTTTGTTTAGTGTAAAATGAGAGAGAAATGAAAAACGACTTTTAGTTGTTTTTCATTTTTTATTTTCGTTTCCTCCTCTCTCAAGCAGAGGGAGAGAAAGATAGATATTAATGGGTTTTTTTACACCGAAACACAAGCTCTTGATAAAACTACCAAACACATTTTTAAAAATGATTTATGTCTGAGATTGAAAATGTTTTCATTTTTATTTTCATACAAAAAATAAAAACATTTTAGAACGAGTTCCAAACGCGCCTAATATATTATAGTTTGGAGAATAAGAAAAGCCTACAAAATGAAATAGTGTCATTCAATCTACCTCTTTTGGTGTTTGTTTAAAGAGCCCGGTACACATTTTTTTTTTCTTCTTAATTACTTTATTTAAGTTTGTAGATGGAACTGATTGTCTGTTATAGACGCGTTTTTTTTTTTTTTTTTTTAATATATAATAGAAGGTTGTGTGAGCGTTGATTGATGTTTGTTGTTGCCTTTTTATACAACCGACTATTTCCTTTTTTCCAAAAAAAAAAAAGGGAAAAAAAAAAAGATTTGAACGAAAATCCTCAACAAGTTCCCAAGGATAAAAGTTAAAAAAAACACTGGACATGAGATTACAACATTATGACTGGGGACGTTGCTGACTTATTACGATGGAAGCAATGGGTCGACCTCTTGAGTTAAGCCCTTCCCTACTCGGACAGTGCCTTGGCGTAATGGTAACGGGCATAAAAGTCATGTACTCAACCAAAAGACTATTAATTGCCATTAGGACCAAAAATCAGGCCACATATTTTGATCCTCCATTACCTTATTTATAAAATAAAAAATCAACTACAAATTTTTCTTTTTTTTCTTTCCCCACCTTTTTTCTGGTATTTCAAAGTTTGGTGACACATTATTATCATCAAGAATGTCAAAAGGTCATTTTTTTTTTTAGTCTATATTATACAACAATGTCGGGGGAGGTAATTTGCTCGTGGAATTTCTCGTTTACTGGATTTTCAACCACGGGGTAGAGATGGGATTTGACTTGCTTTTAATAGATTCATGGGATTAGTGTTTGTTTTAGAGTTGGATACATTTTATTTACTTAGACAATAGGAAGATAAAGAAGACGATCAATTTCTCTTTTATTTTTTTTTAATAGAGAAATTTATTTTAAAATAGTCGTAAATGTTTAATTTCTCTTTTCAATACTAAAACACATTAAAAGATCAAATTAAGAACGCGGGTCTTATACTTTTTTTAAGGAAAAAATTACTAAACTTTATTTTAAGAGTGTATGAGTCTTGATTTTTACCACTTACTCTTGATTAATACTCTTTTGACTAATATAATTATTCAATTAAAGGAATATTAATCAAGACTAAGAGTAAAAGTCAGACTCGTGCACTTTAAAGGGTTATTTGTCTCATTTATCTTATATTAAGAAAGTAGAAACTTTAAGATTTAATAAAATGAGACCTCCTACGATAGGGTGCTGATAGTACAAGTTTTTAACCACTTGATATGATTAAAATTACATGAAAATAAAAAAATATGCATAATAGTCAATTTTGAATACAAATATGAAGGCTTAAAACATAGACCTACCAATAGGAATCTCTTAACAACATTGGGAAAAGAAAAACAAGTTAGTGTGGAAGTTCTTTAAGGAAACCTCCAAATAACTTTGATTAGGTCTTCATCTTGCATGATATCTATCAAATTTGGACATTGCGTCTTAGCCATTGCAAGTTGGTACCTGAATTCTTATATGATTCCGAGGAATTCAGTTCCACAAGGTACAGACAAGTAGTGGTTACAAATCGCAAGGAATTGTCAATCCAAGAAGATAACTTGTAAATTGAGGACCTTTTTGAACACACAATATATTCCCACTTTAAAACCCTTATATAGTTGAACACCTAATAGTCATACACTGTATGAGGAAATGGTCCATGATTTTGATTCCAATTGGCCCACCTAACTCATTTAGACCCAAATTGAAATGACCCTTTTGATGACACGTCAAACCAAAACAAGTGCAAAGAGAAATAGAAATGAAACATATATAGAAGTGTAAAGTACATCAAAGGAAGAAAGAAAGGTGGAGAGCAAAGATGCCATGGGAATAATTGGTATTGCTCAAGATGAATAGCTATTCTTCCAACTCTTTAGGTACCAATTCTTTATTGTACATCATAAGAAAGAAGATTCTTTGGAGGAGAGAAGTGGCATATGGGAGGTTGGCTAAATTCTTGCAACATTTCATGTGCAAGCATGGTTATCTCCTTTAAATATGTGAGGTGGGTTTTTTGAGAGACAATCTTGCACATCAATAGCTAGCACCTAAGTTGACGAAAAAGCCCAAAAAATTAACAATAAAACCCTAAATTGTAAATAAATAAATAGAATACCCTAAATTGTAAAAATTTTGAACCAACAATTTTTAGGTGAGGCGTGGCTGCAAATAGTGAAAGAGCACAGTTTCTTTCAACCTTGATGTTGATGAGTGAAGGCGTAGACAATCTACTTTTTTTTCTTTTATTTTTTATGTCATTATTTATTTATTTATTATTATTTTATATTTTTGCTAAAAAGTTGGCATTCCACTTTGTAAGTGGGTAGAGCAATTTTTTGTGTGTCTCCGCCTTTCACTTCTTTGGAAACCGTGACGTCTCAAGAGATTGAGTGCACTTCTTGAACAGCCTCTCCTTTCCTTTCCTCTCCTATCTTCTTTCTTTTTCCTTTATATATATATAATGACAATACAAAACAAAATTAAGTAGGCTTGTAAAAATATGAGACCATATTTTCCCATCCGCTTACTTTCATCAACGATAATTGTGGTAGCAAACATAGCTTCAATAAACAACCATTGACCCTTTCATTTGGCCAACAAAGACATGCACAAATCAAATAAAGGCCCGCCATTTATAAGGCCATTGACTTTATAATGGGACACCGATCAGTTTCATGGCAACTCCATACAATAATGCATTTCTTTTCACATCTTAGAAATTCTCTTTTTTCCGAAAAGGACACTGTAATAAAGGTAACATAGATATGGCACCTAATCTAGCATGGTAATTATTGAATTTACCTATATGGTAAAAACAACATGGCTTGCTGAAAATTCTTGATAATTCTAAGGCCTACAAAAATTTTCCAAAGCCACATAGGCATGTTATTGTTTCTAAAAGATGGAGAAAGACTACTCACGGGATGACTAATTAGGAGAAAGACTACTCACGGGATGACTAATTAGGAGAAAGAAGACTAAAATTCGTTACAATGGGTCGCATGAATCAATGCAAGACACAAGTTAAAGTCAATAAGCTGTTTTGGCACGCCAAATATTGGTCTAGCTAGAGACGATCTAAGCCAATATAAATAGCGTCTCTTTTGAGTCTTTTTACGGCAGAGTCTATGCATATTTTTAATCGTTTGATCTGATTAAATTCATATTAAAATAAATAAAAAATAGCATGCAAAACAGATGATTTATAATACTAATTTGATGGTTAAAAGAGAAAACTATAGTAGTAGATTTTTTTAAGGTGTAGAAATCTCTTTTTTTTTTTTTCCATTTAGGAAAATAACACCTCACTCTAGAAGGGCTCTCAAATGTCTCCAAGTAATAAGGTAGAGAGAAGTTTTAGAGACAAGTGGAGGAGGGCCTCTCACACGTGAAGTGTCAAAAAGTACCTCAAAGTTACATATGCAACAGGTCAAGCCCTATGGAGAGGACCATTTTGCCTGTGATAAACATTACTTTTTGTTATCTTCTAAGAATCTAATCGAACAAAATGATGGGAAGGCAGAAAGAGAGAGAGAGAAGTTGGAGTGGGGAAAGTCATGAAAGGCATGATTTCTTAAAGAGTCCACACAAAACCCACTAGAGATAAAAAGTGAGAGATTTGTTTTGTTTTTGTTGTTCTTTTATTTCTTGTTTAATTATTCATTTATTCTTAGTAGTATTTTATTTATTTTTTTTTTCTGGGTAGAAAGTGGTGGACTTGTTTACGGGCTTTACCTGTTTTCCCTTTTTCTATAGCGGGGAGATGAGATGATTTTGATAGCAAAGGTATCGACATGATCATTATCTTTATAATACCTACAAAAGAAAACGACCCACGAGGTTTTTGCTCCGTGCATGTGAACAGCACCATTGCTGTCTGGTTTTTTTTTTTTTTTTTTTTTTTTTTTTTTTTGTTGAGTTTATTAAAAAATGAAATTGTTAAAGAAACAAAAAAAAAAAAAAAAACTTAAAAATTGTGTTTTCAATCTAAATTATAAAGAGCAAATTCTTAATTAGTTTTTTATAACATGCTCACCGTAAATAAAAAATTGTAAATTAGTCAATTTAGGGATCAAAATCTGCTATTGATGTAGAAAATACATAAATTTAACATCAACTTATATGTCAAAAGTTTAATTTTTAAAACATCCAAAATAGGACTTTTTTTTAATAAGCTTAAAATAACAAGACACAAATACAATGAAATGTGCCTTGTTATTATTTATTTTTCTCTTTTAAAGTGTTCATTCATTTTATTCTTCCTATCCAAGTGGATGTGTTTAACTCAACACCTGCTGTCACTTTCTTCCTCTTACGACGGTGCCGACTCTGTCAATGTATTAGCTAAGCCGCCAGTTTCTTGTGTGTAACACATTTGTTCTGCCTTGTCATGTTTCAAAGCACTTGAAGCAAATAATAAGCACATAAACTAGGTTTCTGGTTTCTAATCATCCTTAAATATCCTACCATCATTACAAGAATGACTTTTTTTTGGGTCATAGCTGATGAATAATCTCACTTTTGAACTGTCGTTCTCTGAACTGAACTGATTTTGGGATTATTAATTTAAGAAGATAATCCAATGGTCTTTAACAAAATGTAACAACACAAGAAAAAAAAAAAAAAAAAAAAAAAAAAAAAAAAAAAAAAAAGAGGCAACGATTAAAAAGAATAAAATGCTACAGATTGCAAAGTTTGGGAATCTCATGGATCCCAACTTAAATCATTCAAGGCTCTTCCCCAGGTAATAAATTTTCTTAAATTCTCAACTTTGTAAAATATATTTAGACCTTGTTGAATAACCCAACCATTAAAGCCACTCTGCCAATTTCAAACCAAGTGGGCTCAGGACGAGAGGGGCTTTCAGGCGAACATATGTAACTAACAACTGACTACTTTGACAAGGAATAAAAATGCATGGAGAGTAAAATAAGCAAAAACCAAGTTTAAAAAAGAAAAAAGAAAAAAGGCTGCATAAAGGATTTACATCGGCAAACAAAGTGGTGACAGAATTATGGCAACTGCCACCTGGGATAGTGATCAGATTAGTAAGCTCTTGACCAAGACAAAAGGTTCTGTCGATTGCTGCAAAGATCCGGTTCAAAAATCAACTCTCAATCATTGGATCCGGCCCAGATGGCTCCGCGTGAGATCTATTGGACTGACGAACAGAGTTGAAGAGAATGTCCTTGATGACCTAAATTGGAAAGAGATGCAGAAAAATTGTTAGAAAGAGACAATATTGTGTGAGATTCTTGTTCAATAATAGAGTGCATTTCAACACAAAACATACAGATATCCAGAGCTTAGAAATAGCTAGTACCTGCGACATTAGACCATGCACCTGTTCCACAGTTATTTTGGCACTATCACGAGTAATTTTCGCAAGTTGTGATTCTTCCTGTAATTCATGAATGTGTTGAAAGTAAGATTAAACAGTGGAAAGTAAGCGAGGTGGTGACATGACTCGAGTGACGGCTAAACTATGATCAGAGTGAATTATTGGGTACAAATGCATTTACTCATCATGCTTAGTTAACGGACCACAAATTCAAACAAATAATCAACACTCCAAGTGAAGCACTCTTTCTCTCTCTGCAAGTGCATCCATATAATACAGATAGATATAATAGTACAAGCAATAGAATTGTACCCACTGAAGGAGATAAAGAAAACTAGAGAAAGAAATCCATTCGGTAAGACAGGGGAAAAAAAAAAAAAGTCATAAGACAATTAAGGAAAAGGAACAAAAATAACAACAAAAACAAAAACAACAAAAGTCAGATAGGTGATGGAAACTGGAAATATTTTTCTTGTAAAAAAAATGTCAAACATAAAAAAAATGTGGTTTTCCCTTTAAAAGATTGTTGTCGTCATAGTGCAGATTAACCACTAATACAATCCCAAAGTTGGGCATGACTGCAGACCAAAATACAATAGAAGAAATCAATCTCCTCTCACGCTCAGATTAACTATGATTCCATGAACCATAAAAAGCATATATTCATAGAAACACATCATTAAACCTTCCAAAAGCAAAAACTATGGTCTGAATTTAAAGCAGATAATGAGAGGTAGTGACTGGCAACCTACGAATCTAGATTCAGTCCAAAACACTACTGAGGACTGGACAGATAGCAAGTGTTACAATATAATGCATACACATTTACATGAAATTATGTGACCCTAAATTAGCTTAAGTATGACCAATATTTTAGTCCATGTCATGATAAATACTTTATTCTGATCAGTCATATTCTAAAAATACGCAATCTAACAGTCTAAAGGCCTCCCTTTTTCTTTTTAGGAAAAAGAAAGCTATGCAATGCGACAGACGGACAGACAGAAAATTTCAAATAACATTAAATCTCCCTTGGTTTAGGTCTTTCTTTCAAGTCAAGACATTTGCATAATTATTAAGAATGAAGAAAAATAATAGCCTTATTATTCAGAAGTAACAAATCTGTGTAAAACTCTCAACCCACGCACCATTCAGAGACGAGAGTGATCACTTCACTTCATACAAAACACTACACAAGGGTTTATATATATATATATATATATATATATATATAGTATTTGTGATTTACATTTAATTTCTACAAAACAAGCAATCTCCTCACACCAGGTTTTCCTCCAATCTGGACTCAGGGAACTCTACGCGTACATATAAGGGGAAAAACTTAGTGAAAAACTTAGTGGGTGTTCTTTTTATAGGCTTGAGGGAAAATATTGAGTTGAAATTCAAATTTTTGTGCGAGAAAACACTATAAAACTATGAAAAGAACAGGGCCTTACATCTTTCTTTCTTTGAGGGGGTGCTATTAGTGGTCCGAAGCGGGAATGAGCCAATTGATTCTCTGCTTGCTCCAGCTTTTCAGCTGCGCGGTATAAAAACACGATAAATTACTGGACTTGTGAAAAAAAAAAAAAAAAAACACCTGGGACTAGGATCATAATTCATAACATACGTACCTAGATCCGAAATTTGTCCAGCAACATAGTCACCATTGCCCAACAAGGGCGAAGAAGAAAGAGTATTCACCCAATATTTGTTCCATAGCAGATCCAGTAGGTGGCTATCAAGAGAGGATTTAAAATAAGTGATATCCAAAGCATAATACTGCAAAAACACAATCAATGATGGTTTAGACTTTAGACAACAATGAACTTCAATATTTAAAAAGAAAAGCAAAGTATACAGTTTCTGAATGATGATAACCTGTTTACAATGCACGCCAAAGTCTTCAATCTTATTCAGAGGGATAGTCTGGTACTCAGAAACAGGCTCGTCAGGAGGCTTATATCCTTCTGGGTATGTCCTGAATGCCCCGATCTCAACTTTGCCAGCAGAAACAGTCCTTGTGGGATCAATGACAACAGCTAAAAATGGCTCCTGAAATTGCTGGTTTAGCATTTGTGTTGAGACATCGATACCCGACAACCAGCATCCATAACCAGGATGAGAATGGTACCATCCAACCACATTCTCCAGCCGGCCCGCCTACACCAGAAACCACTCAATAATGAAACAAGGACCAGAATTAAAAAAAACAAATGCAAGAGACATCTTTTATTGTTAGAATTATCTTGTGACTTACAAGATGTAATGTATTAATGCAATAGAACCCTGGAGAAACAAAAAAAAATTGCTAATCTCCCAGGATTACAAAAACAATCTTGTAAAAACCCTAACAATGGTGGTATTTGAGAGACCAGCAAATCTCCAAAGATCCCAATTTCCCAGTAATCAGACCATAATCCCTCACTAATTACTATTCCCTCTTTTACACTACTAATTCTCCTCTTGAAAAACTAGTAAATATTAACAAATAACAACTATCACTAATCAGTTACACTGCTAACTACCTCTACTAACCATACACTAACGGCCCACTAACCCAAATTAACTACCCAATCCTATCAGCCTTCATATTTCCAGAAGGGAATAGGCAGCAACTCTTAGCTAAAGGTTTCCCCGAAGAGAAACTAGAGTTTCTTAGATAAGAAAATGTCTTAGCAATGCAATCTCCTTCAAAAAAAAGCCCGAAAAATGGTTATTACGATATCTTACTACCAAAAACGTATACAACAAAAAACTAAAAAACTGGAGAGACAACGATGTTAAGGGGAAAAAACATACACAAGTCATTCCTTCGGTTGAATCACGCAATACAATTTTGACTTCATTACAATCTATCAGCAGACAAATTAGGGTTTTCTTAGAATAAGAAGTGTTCTTTAAATGGAAAACTCACTCAAAAAGTGCCCGACAAAAGGTGAAAATCAAAATTTCCAACTACCAAGAACTTTATTCAACAAAAAATGCTAAACAAATAAAAATGAAAAGACAAAGAAGCTACTAAGGTCGAAACAAAGGGCGAAAAAAAAAAAAAAAAAAAAAAAAAAAAAAAAAAAAAAAAAAAAAGTTCAATCCATCCAGTTCCAGTAGAATCTCCCAAAAGAAAAGCCTAGGGTTTCATTCTCAGATTAAAAGAGCGTAATCCATGAACAAATCTGGTAATTAAAGAAGGAAAGGAGAAGAACCTGCTTGTTGGTCTGGGAATAGTCGACCATATACTCGTAGGCATCGGCCTGGGCATTAACCCTAGTCTCGGTGCCTTCGACGGGCAAGGCAAAAGCATCCATGACGATGATGGCGTCGCCATCGGTCTTGCCCTGCATGAGGCCCATGACCTCGATGGTGCCGCCGGAGCGGGCGTGGACGACCATCTTGAGGAGGGCGAGGGCGGAGATCTTGACGCGCTTGAAGTAGTGAGGGTCGTTAGACCACGGCTTCTCCTGCTGGAACTTGGCCTGGGCGGCCTCGTCGTAGTAGAAGACAGCGTCGGAGGAATCGCCGCCGGAGGATTTCGCCGTCGCCGGAGGAGTAGGAGTCTCCATGGGGATGATGTTGTTCTCAAGCTCCCAGGTTTGCTGGGCTATCTGCGACGATGAAGGAAACGCCTCCATTGTTGTTGTTGTTGTGATTTTGCCGATTCGGGAACCTCTCTTCTTTTCACTTTCTGCCATTCATAAGAGAGAGACTGAAAAATAAATAAATAAATAAATAGTAATAATTAAAAATAGAAAAATTAAAGAAAGAAATGGCAGTTTCTTTGGGTTTTTAGGGTTTAACTGGGGAGAGGGAGAGTATGGCCCAATAGGTTGGGGCGTGAGCAATGAGTGACTAGAAAAATTGAAAATTTAACCTGCCGTATGTGTTTAGATTTTTATTTTTTATTTTTAATAAATAATTTTTTTAATGTAATTATTGTATTAAAAAAAGTTATAAATTAAGAATAAAATGTAAAAATTATTATCCATACAGTTTTTTAAAGTATTTATCAAGATCTGAGAATATTTTAGGCTTGCTTTGCACGTAATAGCCCAATGGTATAAGGGGTTAAGTGCTCTACCAAAAAATAAGTTACAAATTCTACTTTTTTAAGTATCTGACTTATTAAAGGCATGTTTGGTATATCATATTGTATTGTATCATATCATATAGTATTGTTTTGTATTACATTATATAATTTTTATACAATACGGTATTTAGTTGGTAGTATTATTAAATATTATCTTATTTTTACCATTGTAATCTATTTATGGATTTGTTTGTAATAAGATAAAATTTAGGCCTGATCATAACCTAATTCGACTCTAATCTCGACCTGAACCCAGTTTTGGAGGAAGCAAGGGAAAAAATAAAGTTGCTACATAGGGGTCTGTTTGCAAAAAAAGATTGAAAAATGGGGTCAAATTGTAATTTTCAAAAAATTTAAGGAGCAAAAATATAATTTTGAAAAATTTGAGGGGTCAAAATATAATTTAAAAAAAGAGAGGTCAAAACATAATTTGTAAAAAGTTTAAGAGTCAAAATATAATTTTTAAAAAGTTTAGGGGTCAAAAATATAATTTTTAACAATATAAACCCAACATCACTTCGGTCCCGAAACTCGACCCCAACGTCGGTCCCAAAACCCAACCTTGAGCATTGATATTTGTGGAATACTTTATATGTTTTTAATATGATATTTTAAGTTAAATTGCATTATACGGTCTAGTATAAAGTTTTTTATGTATTAAATATCACACTTCGTATTGTATTAATTTTAAATCTCATATCAAATACACAATGTATAAATGTCACCAAACATTCTATTATTATTAAATAATACAATACGGAGTGTTTATATGGTAGACTAAACATGCCCTATAAGCACTCCTTTTAAAAAAAATTTATCCTTGATTAGTTGTAGTCTAAAAAGTATAAAATATATGAGTTAATGTTAATAGTAGAAATAAGAGGAAATTCTATTTCAAAGAGTATTTTTAAAAATTGTCCAAAAAAAAGGAGACTAATTACATGGTTACCCTCCAAATTATAGATCGTGTTATAAAATGGCCTCAAACTTTAATTTATAACATCCGTACCACTTGAATTTTAGAAGTATTGTAAATTTTACTTGAATTTTAGAAGTCTTGTAAATTTTCTCCTTCTTTAAAAAAAATAAAAAATTACATGTGAAATGCATGTGATGACAATTTTAAGGACATTTTAGTAAAGACAAACTAAAAGCACATTAAATCCTAGTTAAATTTTAAAAAACTATGATTAAATGCTATAAAACAAATAAAAAACTAAGGAAGCAAACACGAAAGTAGCAACCTCCATTCCAAAAGATCATCCACTCTCTTTCTTTTTCTCTCTTGATTATTTTGGCAACCTGGAAAAATGTTTGCCTATCTTTTAATGGGACTTTGAACACAAAAGATAAACAATACATGAATATCCCCTCATCACCTTTCTCGTATAAAAAAACCTTGAAAAACCTGTTGAACTTACTTTTAGAATACGTAAGTCTGAATTTTTACTATTTATTCTTGATTAATACCCTTTTAACTAATATAGTTATTTGACTAAAAAAGATATTAATCACGAGTGAAGGGTAAAAATCCAGAGCTATAAATTTGTCTCATTTTCCCTAAAACCTTCAATAGAAACTAGAGTTATAAATTTGGATCGGACCAAACAAGTAGGTCCGAGGCTTGCCACTGTTGGCTCGAGCTGAGATTTTGAGCCTAAAAGTTTATTCAAGTTCGGCCGTGCTGACCCAAACAACCTCTTATTTAATTTAATTTTTTTTGAAAATACCTTATATAATTATGGGCTTAGACGGCCCTCTCCCTTTTGGGTAGGTCCAATTTCATTTAAAATTTCTGTTTAGACCGTCGAGCTCGAGTTGGATGGCTCGAACTTATACCTCTAATAAAAACAAAGATACAAACCCATAAACATGAAATTGTTTTTACAATTTCATGTAAATTACCAGCATAACCAAAAGAATTGTAACCCACTTATAAACACGAATTACTTGAATTAAGGCCACTAATAGTGAGTCAACAATCAATCATGAAATCCAAGAAACCACAGCAAATTAATTTATATATATATATATATATATATATATATATATATTTGTAAGAAAGAAAATGAAGCAAGAATGGGAAGGAGTGAGATCGAGAGAAAGATGGGGCAAAGGATATGCAAGGGAAGATAGAGAGAGAGAAAGAGGGGGATGGTCTAGAGAGAGTGATTGTAAACTTTTATTTGATTAATTGCAAATTACCTAGATTTAAGGACAACATCGTAATTGCCTATTTAGGTCTCATTCGCTTTACAGATTTAAGTTTTTAATTCGAGCTGAAATGTAACATTTTTTGAAAGCTTTTAATTGTAATAAAAAAATTAGATGTGATATTTTTTGAAAGCTTTTCACTGTAAAAATCTAGAACTGAAAACTCGAATCGGTAAAAAGAACGAGACCTTAATAACTCAATTCTTATTTCGAGCATCATGTGTCATTCTCTGTAAACAATTAAACGGAAGGAGAAAATTTGTAAAAGTTCTTAAGTTCAAAGAGAACATATGTTACAAATTAAAGTGCGGGAGACATTTTATAATACGACTTACAGTTTGGGGGCAACTGTGTAGTTTGTCAAAAAAAAAAAAAATTTGGAATCTACAATTGTACACCTTTTCCTCAATTTTGGAGTTTGGACATATATTTTTCTTAAAAAAATAATTTTTTATTCATTAATCATAGCATCGACTAGTGCTGAAATTTTGGACAAGCTGGCCGCGATCGCCCGAAAATACAGAGTTTTTACCCGAGCCCGACCCACCCGAAAAATTCGGGCTGCCCGCCCGAGCCCGAAAATGCCCTTGAACGGGCCGTGGGCTTATATTTGGCTACTCGAACTCGGCCGGGCCGCCTGAGCCTGCCCGAATAGCCCGAATTTTTTTTAATATTTTTTAATTTTTATAATTATTAAGTTAGTTTGTGTTAAAATTATATAAAAATCAAAATTAACATTCAACAGACATTATTAACACAATTGAATAAATTAATCATGTATATTAATGATGTATATTAAATTCGTAATTCATGATTGTCTCGTTAAAAACCTTACCAAGAAAAATCCAATTAGGATAAAAACTTGACAAGAAAAAAAGAGTGCAATCATTTTGTAACGAATTATAAATTTTACAAACTTACAAAGTTATACAATTACAAATACAATGTCAAAAATAAATACATATTTACAAATTATAAATTTACAATTTAATTTGAAGCTGAAGAATCGTCTTCAAAATTAAATGTTAATCAATTAAATTCATCGATCCATTCTTCGCTTGCCGGCGAAATTATATCCTGTAGACGTTGATCAGCCCGATCCCAATCCTTAATGCAAACCAAGGCTTCAACAATATCCCTTTGCAATGCATTCCGGTGTTCCTCAAGTATTCTTCCTGTCGTACTGAAGGCTTGTTCGGATGAAATAGTGGAGACTAGGATCGAAAATATATCCATTGCCAATCGAGTTAGGATTGGCCAAGTTAATGCCTGTGCCCTCCACCATTGAACTAAGTCAAATAATTCTGCCGTACCGTCGACTACTAAGCCTTCACTGAGGTACGTCATAAGCTCGTTGAAGCTACCGCCGCCGCTACCACTGCCACTTGTTGACGAAGATTCACTCCTAGCTTCTGTTTGAGTTGTCTTCTTCTTCTTCAATCCGAAAACATTCAAAAATGAATGCGGATTTTCGTCTTGTTGTTGCGGTTCCTATACTCTAGGAGGTACTCTAAACCTAATCTCATATTTACCATAGATCAAAAATATTTGTTCCTTTATTATTGGATATTGGTCTGAACAATTGATGCCTAAAAATTCACTTAAGTTATCTAAACCACTTTCTAAACCTTCTAATTTTAATCTAGGATAAAAAATAGTACCCAAACCATACAACAAAGGCAACTTAGACCAATATTTTATAAATTTCTTTTCCATTGAATGGATAGGAACTGCTAAGATTGGGTCCTCCCTATATTCACTAAATAAAATAGTAATTCATAAAAGTTCTCCTAAAGCTAAAGGTGATGTTGGATAATATGTTCCCCTAAGTTTTGGAGTCACTTCATGAAACCTACCTAAAAATTGATACAAAACTTCAGCAATTTACCAATCATATGCGTCTGTATGATTTACTCCTACTTTTACACACATATAGTTTGTTATAGCATCCTTATAGGGGATGCATTGTTGAAGCATTATGTAAGTTGAGTTCCATCTTATAGGCACATCTAACACTAATGCTCTAGGAGGTATATTTAATGCTTGTAAGAGCCTAAACTAATCTTCTTGTCTTTGGTTACTACCATGAATCCATGCAAGACTATCTCTAATTCTTTTAATGTGATTACCCATTTCTTTTAAACCAGATTTAACAATTAAATTAATTACGTGGCATGCACAACGTTGGTGGAAAATTGTACCGTCACCGAATAAACTTAAATCATTTTCAAAGAACTCAATTACTTTTGTATTGGCACTAGCATTATCTAATATTATAGCCATTACTTTATCTCTTAATCTAAATTCATCAATTACATTTAAAATGATATTATCTATTAAATTCGCACTATGTGATCCTAGAACACATTTAAAACCTAATATTCTCTTATCTAAATCAAATCCTTTAAAGTAATGTCCGGTTACAGCTAAATAATCTTTATTGGCAACGGCAGACCAAATATCTGCCGTTAACGCAATGCACCCGCTAGTCGAGTGTAAAAGGTTTATTAATGCTTCTTTTTCTTTTTTAAATAATTTTAATAAATCTTTTCTAAGAGTTGTTTTTGAAGTGAACTGTGCATTAAGATTATGTACAACCTTAATATATCTTTACCAATTAGGATGCTCTACAAAACTAAGTGGTTGATCTAAAGCAACTATCATTCGTGCAACTTCCATATGATCTACTTGCAGATCGTATTTTCAAGTGGTTAAACCACCGGTTGCGCGAACAAAAGATAATTGTGTTTGGCGGAGTTCGGATCTGCCGGATTGGCTAAGCTTTCGAAGACACTTTTCAAAGTGTCTTCTCAAGTGTGTGGTGTCGTCAATAGTGTCACCTTGTAATTTAGATAAACAATATTTACACTGAGCTATATGTTTAGTGTTACCTTCATTGTCAATCTCCTCAATTATGTCGAAGTGATCTCAAACTGTCGATGTGCGCTTGCATTTCCTCCTAGAGGTTGCAACACTTGCAGACGCAGTCGCACGGGAACTCGCCATCGCCACTTCTCCACGCCCACCACCATTGTGACCACGACCTCCGGTACGTCTAGTAGGGCTCGGATTAGTAGATTCCTGCGTAACAAATTCATTAGTGGGAAATTGCCCTTCTTCCATGTTGTGTTGGGCGTCAATGGGAATACTACTATAACTAAAAGGATCCATTATAAAAAAATAAGAGCGATTTGAGAAAGAGAGCTTTAGGATAAGGTGATAGTTTTTAGAAAAATTATGAGAGAGATTTGAGAGCTTGAGAGAGATTGAGAGAAATTGAGAGAGATCGAGAGAAATTGAGAGAGATTGAGAGAGTTTGAGTGAGAAAAATGTGTGGGGGATGAGGGGTATTTATAGGAAAATTTTTGGGTTAAAAAATTGATTTTTTTTCAAAAAAATTCGGGGTGCAACGGCTACTTTAGGTTCGGCGGGTCGGGTTCGGGCAAAAAACTAGCCGTTGGATGGGTTTTCGGGCATTTGGGCAAAATTCGAGTCGGGCACCAACAGTATGGATTTTGACCGTTTTCACGATTTTTGGGCAGTCGGGCAAATCGGGCTTGGCCGGAAAAATTCAAAAAAAACTCCGGCAGACGACGGTTGACGGTGCCTACACAGCAGCAGGCTCTGGCGAGGTGCCCAAATTCGGCCTGCCCGAACCTGAATTTTCACTTTGGACGGGCCGGCATATGGGCCTGCCTGCCGAGCCCGAAAAATTCAGGCAGCGGGCCTGCCCGCCGGCCCAAAGTTCCACTACTAGCATGACTCACAAACATATTATAATAGGTGAGAAGATTCCTCCATCTTAAATTATTTCAATGTTCAAAATGAAAACGTATAAATAGCCAAACTATAAGTGGCCTTATTAGCTTCCATATAAACACAACTAAACTTAAACTTTGAAAAAAAAAAAATACATTAAATTAGATATTAACAGACAATACTCCAAACTCTGTACGGACGTGTCTGTGCTTCAGTTTCTTTTGCATTGAAAACCATCAAATCTTTAGTTAATATTACCATAACAAATCCCTGCTCTCTCAGATGAAAACACCAATACCAATAGCTTTTTGAGAAGTTTAGATTGCAACTTCAACATTTGCCTATAGTTATTATGATCGGAAGTCCAATTAATACAATTATAATCAATAGGTTGATTAGAGTGTTAAGCGTTATTATGCGTTCAGTAGATCAAGTAGAAAGATGATAAACAACTTTATATCTGAATATGGATTTGAACTCTCGCTTTATGCAAAATTGTTTAGAAGTTTCGTACAAATTTTTAAATAGCATTTTAAATAATTGCACTTTCATATTTTTTAATAGGCATTTTAAATAAAAGAACTAATTGTCAATCATGTTTTCTCTATGCAATGTGAGATTTATTAGTCATAGTTTTTGACACTTTTGCCGCTTAAACCTTTTGGATTTTGTCAACTTTTCCTATGAAATTCTAAATTTAGCAATGGATCTTACAATTTACTAAGAGTTTGTTCGTTTGCACATAAACTCAAAAAAAAATTTAAACTCAAGTTATAACTTTATTCAAGTTCATGTTTTTTTTAGTAAAATTTGAGTTTGAACTTGAGTTTTAATTAGACTTCAGGGCTAAAATCTGAGTTCAAGTTTCCCCTTCAACTCAAGTTCCTAAACTCAAACTCAAGTTAATGAACAGTTTTTTTTTCTATTTTTAAAAACGATATAACTTTTTCGTTTTAATTCCGATTGAGATGATTTTTTTCTATACGTTCACAATGAAGAGATAAATAAAAACCCACCCATATATCCTATTAAAATTTTTCATCACCATTGAGTTTTTATTAAAATACTATCCAAATACAAATTCAAGTTTTGATCCACTTAAACACAAACTCAAATAGATTTTCAATTCAAACCATAACTCAAAATGTGCACATCCAAACACAAACTCAAATTAGAGTTTCAACTCAAACTATACTCAAATACACCTTAACTCAAATCAAAATCTGAACTCAAGTCATCATAATTCAAAAACTCCAAAAGAACAAACCCTAAATTATTAATTAGTAGGTCATTGTACTGATTTTGCTCTCAAATAGTTAGGGTTTTTGATACTTTTGTGGTTTTATTCCATAAACTTTTCAGATGTTGACTACTTGTCCTTTAAAATTCTAACTTTATTGATTGGTCCATCCAACTTACTAAATTAGTAAATTGTTAATTTATAGGTCATATTACTGATTTTGCTCTCAATTAGTTGTGTTTTTGACAAATTTACCCCTAAAACTTTTGGTCAGATGTGCCTTTTCCATCACTAATTTAATATAATCATCAACAAAATGAGCTTTATTGCAATAATTTAGCAAGTTTTGGAGGGGTGAGGGCAAAATGTTAAAATTAAAGTCTCATTCTTTTCACAACTCAAGTTCTATGGTTAAAATATTTTCTCTTACAAAAATTTAAATTTAACTTTTTATTACAGTGTATTTCTCTCACATATACAACTCTTCTTAACTTGAGTTGTGAAACAAACATACCCTTAAATATTTATAAGCAAGTTGCAATGCCTAAATAGTTAAAGGAGTAAATTTACCAAATATCCTAAATAGTTATCACTTGTAATCATATCTATTAATTTTTTAAAAGCTTTTATGAATCTCTTTAAAGTGATTCAATTAGTTTTTTTCAATATTTTATTTTAGTTTCCCTTATCATGTTCATATATTATGAGTAAGAAAAAAAAAAACTAACACAAAAATCTTGTTACGAATGACAATCGTGAATATAGTAAGATATTATAATAGTAAATAGAGAAAATAATAATAAAAAATTAAGAATACGTTTATTATCACTTGTATCCTTGAATTTTGGGGTTATTCTCAGTTTGTCTTTTAAAAAACTCACTTTGCCTCTTGAATTTTTTAACAATCCCATTTAAGCCTTTTTGTAAGAATTTTTGTCAAGATCAGATAGCCAAAAAATAAATAAAAAAATTAAAAGTTATGAGTGGACATGTGATTTTTGTTTATTTGCTTTTTAACAAGATCGTGTGATTGCATTATTCTTTTTTTTCATATATTTTTAACAAAAATTACAACAGAAGAGTTAAGTGGAGCAATTCAAAGTGGGAGCTTTTAAAGTTCAGAAGGCATTCCAAAGAAGAATAATAATTAAATATTTGATATATTATTCTTTTATTTTTCAAAACACTTTCTAAAGAACTCTTTTTCCGAAGAGAGCATGATTAAGGACAAAGTTAAAATAAATTATTAAAGGGATATAGAGGCAAATGGTCTTTTTTTAAGGATTTTTTTAAATAGACGAAGGTTTGCAAAATTAGCAAAATGACCATTTCTTTTATTTAATTAAATAGTGAATCACTGATTAACTTATTAATCAATCATTGACTGACTACCAGTCAATCAGTGATTGACCGCTTCAATCATTAATTAACTTATGTTTATCATTGTTTAACTCGATTTATTAATCAATATTAATTAATAATTAGTCAAAATCAATTTTAATCAATAAATTTTATGTTTATTAATGATAAATTATAATAATGAATAAGTCAATCACTGATTGACCGTTGATCAATTGATTGACTACTGAAAAAAATGTCATTTTACTAAAACAAAAAAGTTGAGCCACTTATTTAAAAAATAAAAAGTTCGGCTATTTAAAAAAAAAAAGTCAAAAAACAGTCATTTACCTAATTTTCTCATTATTAAATTGTAAGACTAAAATAAGTGCATCTGTAAATTAATTATAGCAGAACTATGATCGTTTTCTTTCGTAATTGTTCTCAACGGAACAGCAATTCGAAAGAATTACACGATTTCTGAAATGAGAAACATTAAATATGTCACGAGAGACATTTAAAAGTTAAATAATTAATTGTTAGAAGAAGAAAAAAAGAACAAATGTTAATAATCATTATTGAGGAACAAACATCTCTTAAAAACTAACTATTGTTTTACGAGTTCTACAGAATTAAATTAGGACCTAAGAAATAATATACATCTCTTTTTGAGATACCTAAGAAACTCTTTATTTCTTTTGAAAGATAACTTATGAATTAAGAAAAAATTACATATTCTACCTCTCCACTTACTAAAAGAACCCCTTTTAAAAAACTCTTAAAAAAATTACATATTCTACCTCTTTATTTCTGCTTTTCACGGGCTTATGACACTGTACGGAGATGGCAACGGTTTTTAAACCCAACAGGCGTATAAAAATTAGTATGAGAACTCCATTTTGGGTTTGTTGAAAGGTTCACATGAGGAGTTAATCTGATTTGCTATAGTAGACCAATTAGATATTAAATTTTTTATTTGCCTCAAAAAAAGAAATAATAACATAAAAGATTACTCTAACACCCGTTTCCATGTAATATCGTTTGTAAGTGTATGTAATAATCAGTTTGTTTAAATGCAACACTCAATGCTATACATTAGACCATATTTTCTGAATGTTACATTTAAATAAACCGAGTGTTGCACAGATATACAAATGATGTTACACGGGCTAATGAAAAAGAGTTACACGTGCTTGACAGGGCTGGGTTCCGGACTTCAGATAATTCCAGAGATTAAAATTGTGAAATGGTGCAGGTACCAGTACTCCAGTAGAATCCAATATGAATCCACCCAATACTACATTATTATATCCTTAAGAGCATCAGGAGAGCCACAAGAACGAGAGAGAGAGAGCCACAAGAACGAGAGAGAGAGAGAGAGAGAGAGAGAGAGAGAGAGAGAGAGAGAGAGAGAGGATGGAGATCTCACTCATCTGTGTGAGTAGCTACCAAACTGAACTAACATTTACATGTGCATTTTTTTCCCTGGACAAAACACTTCCCATAAAACATTCATGCCAGTACATGATCAGAACAAGCAATTTCAAATTTCCAGAATCTCTATTCTCAATCTCAGGTGTGGGTCTACCAAATTACTTTTGACGGCTAGCTAAAGATCTCAAAACAAGAATAAATACAAACAATAACAATACCTGCTTAGTGGACTGACAAAATAAGATCTCACTGCGTGGAAATGCCTTGCTTTCTCCTATTGTATCTGCTCAGTCTCTTCCCATGTTGCTTGTCAGCGTCGCCAGTGGCATTGGGTGCGACACTGCGTTTTGAGCCATGCCGAGTCGAATACCGATGCGCAACGTTTGGCGAGCCATTTGTGATGTAATCATTCTCGTGCATAGTATCGCTCACGTAAGGGACCTCCACAGAGGTTTCACTCAAAAGCTCGCAGGACTCGTCCTCAAAACCACCAACGGCTATCTTGTCATAACTTGAACCACCAAGATCATGTTCCTCTCCGTCTAGCATAGCATCTTGCTCCGAAGTTGTGTCTGCAGACAGACTGTAACCAAGAAAACCAGTTCAGAAAAGATTTGAACTCAGTAAAGTAGCACTATTTTGGATGTTAAGGGCCCCCTTTTACCTGTATCCTCCATTAGACGTATAAGCACTTTCGTTTCCAGCCACTTCCTTTGATGTTGCGCAGTTGCTCCCGAGAGATCTTGGATCTGGAACTGCATTTCAGAAGCCAATAGAAACAATTTTAGAAGAGACGGAACAGGTACAAGGACAACAAATACACACAAAAATAAATAAAATCAATCACTATGTACATTTGCTTAAAAAATATTAAGAAAACCAAAATCCCATTTGACTAAGCAAAAGAATTCCCCCCACCCCCAACAATAGCCAAGGACATACCAAAGGAGACAGAGAGTCAGAATCCAGTGCCCACACTAATGCATGTGTATACACGCATAACAATTACCGTTACTGATTTAATCAAGCAAGAGATGACTTCGATTAAAAAATCTTTAAATATAATTTCTGTGGAAGACGTCCAATGCCAGATTATGCAAGCTAAGGCAGCACCAGACAGGTCACACAATACAGCAAACGAAGGCAATACGTTTCCAGTTCAGAAAGCAGGGATAAGTTTGCTTACCAAAAATGGCTTTGAAAAACCAAGAGAAAAATCTTAGCCAAGTCATATAAAATTAAATCTTAAAATAGAATCTAAGAGAAATAGTGCAAAAGGCAGACATGACTTGCCCAGAAAATTAGTTTATTTCCTTTTAGTAAGGAGCCTTCCCTCAATCAAACAAGGAGAATGCACATCAAAGGCTCTAAAATCTGGCGTGAAAAGTACAACATCATATTAGATGAGTTTTTCCTAGTGATGCAACCAATAGTTTAAGACTTACCTTGTATGCTTCCTTCTGCAATCGGACTTAGCTGCTTCTCAGTTGCACCAGTGTCCTCGTGGTTACAAGCAACATTAAGGCCATCATCGCTGTGAACCAATATGACATTTAAAAAAAAGTTAAACAACAGATATATCATCAATCTCTCCAAGTAAGAGAAACGATGTGCAAGCAAAGAAATCAAAACTGCCCCAAGAGGGTTAGGAGTTGGGCCTTACTAAGGCCCTTTGCATCAGAAATGCATGAGAAGAACAGATTTAGGTTGCAAACATGTAAACATGATGTGCTTTTTATACGGCAAATTTTTTTGTTAAAAGAGGGGATATATATAAGAAATTTGAATATTATATATATAGATTAAAAAAATTTAAAAAATAAAATAAAATCCAGGGAAGCTCTCTCGGCCTCTGTATATGACCACACATCAGAACTAAATATCTTCATTATTAAGTAGAGGTTGTTCTTAACATAAAAAAGAGGTTGTTGCCTATAAAAGTCGACTCATGCGAAGTCTGATCAAGTTGGACACATCTAAACGATATCAAGATTAATGCATGAAAAGCATAAAAACAAAAGAAGAGAAGAGAGAAAATAAAATAAAAAAGAGGTTGTTGCATATAGAAGTCAACTCCTTACGCGAAACTCTGATCAGGTTAATGCACATCTAAATGCTGTCAAGATTGACAAACGCATGCCAAGTCTGTCTCGTCTTTAATCATGTTGAGTTGGTGAAGTGTAGCTCACTTCACGTGGACTTTATACTTGGTTTACTCATTTAAAGGGTTTCACAAGTTAAAGATTACTAAGGAAGCAACCAGGCCACCCTTGTATCTCGACAACCCAAAAGAAAGTTTCAAAACTATTATTCAGAGCAAATATGATATCATAGTCAAAAGTAGCCATGGGAAATATCTTCCAAGAAATAAATTTACAATAACAGGTGCATCTCTGAGAACACGCATAAGAAAAATCTTTCTAATGTTATTCAGATATAAGAATTAACATCTAGTTTTTTTTAATCTTAATTCTTCGACAACATGTATATATTTGACAGAAATAGAAATAGAGAGATGGTCCCTTCTGGAGTAATCTCTCCCTCTCTTTATTAACTTTCACAAGTATGAATCAGATGTTCACATAAAAAAAGTGAGATACTTGCATAATACATTATTTCCCATTATCTGGATGTCAATGAGGTCCAAAGACCAATAGCATTAAAAACAATTGTAATTCATGGCTCTGTTCGTCAATTGTTTTAGAATAATATTAGGAACACCAACTCAAATCTCAACTTTTGTGTACCAACTGATGTGGCATGTAAGTTGTCACTTTTTTATTGGTGAGTGTTTAAAATTATTGCCACGCCAATAAGTGATTAGAGATTGCATCTACCAAAACAACTCACGTGCCACATCAGTTGGTACACAAAAGTTGGGTTTGAGTTGGTGTCCCAAGCACTACTCATTGTATAGGGACTCTACTTATACACAGTGAGATCATAACAAAAGCTCTAATAGAAGATAAAGGGAATAGCTTATGAAGGCTATTTGGTTAGTAAACATTACCACACAAAAACAGAAATCAAACCTGAGCAATACATTCAGAGTCTCAATAACTTGAGATGAAAGAAGTCCCTGTTCTTCGAATGGCATACCTTCTAAGCCATCCTTTGTACCTAATAGTTTGATTTAAATTGGTTAGTAACTATACAACTAAACATATAATCTACTTAGGATACAATCTGAGGCCTCGTTCAGTTCGCTAATTCGAGTTTTTAATTCGAGGTGAGATGTGACTTTATGTGAGAGCTTTTAACTGTAGCAAAAAAAATTAGAAGTGACTTTTTGTGAGAGCTTTTAACCGTAGCAAAACTGGAATTGAAAACTCGAATCGGTGAAATGAACGAGGCTTGAGTATGTCTATCATGCAGATTTAGAACTATAAATGCAAATACAATTAATCATTAAAAATAAAGGATCACCTCCTTCTCCATTAACGGCATTAGTCACTTCCAAATCCTACAAACAGAAATCGTAATAGATATCAATAAATTGACATTGCAAACTTAAAACAGTGTAAAGAAGTGCAAACATGCCACAAAGTGGGAACCTGAATTTGCTCAGAAGTGTTATTAACTCGATTGAGTGATGAAGCTTCATTTTGTATCCCATCTTGTGCAATTTCCATCCCTGACAAGGCAGGAATGAAGAGTCCATGTCTTAATTTTCCACAATGTACTATGCCATTTCTTTATTCTGGAACTACAGTAATACTGAGCAACTGCGCAATCTATTACTGATAACAAAAGGTTACTGGAGCAACCTGACAGAATTACCTCAAACCATAAAATAAAAGTACCTTGGAATCCATAACTACTGAATGTTCCTGTCGCTGTCAGCAAAGATCCATCTATGGGTCTTGTAGAAGCATCTACCTTTTCTCCCACGTTAACATCTATACTTTTAGATAGTAAAGAAATCGGGCTAGCTCTAGAAGACCAATTGAATCTTTTAGATGGTAGATTCCTAAGCATCTCTTCAGTTGCTTTAACTCGTACTTTATGTATTTCCTCCTGAATGTTCCACGACCCTGTGGTGGGAGTATCCTTTTTTGCCTGTATTCAAGTTTCAGCACATCAATTGTAACAAATTTAGTTAGCAAAATGAAGTAAGAAATCATCTAAGACCTCCCTAGTCCTAAGTTTCCTACAGAGTCATATCTTCCCCAATGTAGCCAATTTCTTCTACTGTGAGTATCCAACAGAACATTAACATTGCATCTAGCTTAATATCTCACACTCGCGTAGAATTTACCTCTTTCCTAATACCATTATTATTAAAGGGACACGTGCGTGCGCACACAAGAAAATCAAAACAAAACAAAAAAAAGAACCACATACATTGTTAAAGAAACACATACAAGAGCAAAAATATTTGATACGGTACCTTGGATGAGGACAAAGCATTACCACCAATTGAATATGGTGTTTCTTCCTTGAAAAGATGTGTGCTTATTGGCGATGGAGATTTGTACTCTCCATCTTTGAAAGTAGGGGATGCCCATAGGGGACGTGTCCTCATGTACACTTTGGCCATATCCACTGGTGACCCCACTTTATCGTCAATAACCTGCACCAAAAGAATAGTAAGCACCAGATAAACCCATCAAATCAAAATGTTTGGAATTTACAAATGAAAAATCCTAAAAGAGTAGTATAGAGATATAGCAAGCACACTACAGATCTCTTTAACTAAGCTTTTTATTCAAAAACAATTTGGAAGGGGGTTCTCTCCCATTCCAACTCATTCAAAACTATTCTTTAACTGCATCTCTACCCCTCTTTTTTCACTTCAGGGTCAATAGCCTAAATATTATTCAAACTTTCGTATTAGATGCATTCATGACACATCATCTAAACGCCTTCCCTTATATTCTCCTTCATTGCTTTTTAAACTTTATAAATTGCTTTACTATACAATCAATCAACAAATTTGCAAAAGTAAAGCCTCCAGAAGATAAATGAAACACGCCACGAATAACGATGCTAAACAGTTGAAGGAAAGAAAAAGGAGAAAGCGAGGAACAAAATCAATCCCTACGATCCATTGCTAAACAGTAGATGTGTGTGTGTGTGTGTTATATTGACTATCAGAGAGGAAACAAAGTGAAAAATAAAGATTACATCATCCATATCTGATTTTGAAGCTGATCTCAATTTCTTCTCTGACAACCACTTCTTCGCCTCAATAATAGCTGTACAACGAAAAACCTGCTCATCTGCTTCTGCAACATACTTGAAACCATCAATCTAACATGAAGGGTTATTAGCAAGTCAAATCACTTATTTTCTTGTAAGCACTCCTACCTGCAGATTTTTCATTCGGTATCTCAGTTAGTCCCCCGGTTTCTGCCTCTTTAGTGCTTAAACTGTCTACAACTCTTGCTTTAATAATCTTTATTAGTTTGTTGCCTTCTTCCCTGGTTAAATACGAAGTTCCTTCATAACTCTTAAAGTGAATTACTAAGAAAAAAAATTAGATATTAATAGTCAACAAACTTCCTTGCTTAAAAAGAAGGGGAAAAAAGGGAGCATGAAACAAACTACGACAAATCCTAATTATAAATGTGCATAAATTCTCAAAATTACCTCGTGAATGTCTCCTGCATAAGGAGCCTCTCAATTGCACGCTTGGAATCTCTTTTTCCTGTTGCTAGTTCAGGATCCTTCCAGAAGCCCTTGATCATTTTTGATTTTCCATGGCTCTGATTTAACCACAATAATCAAAAGCGCATGGAGTTAACCAATAAGTCTAGGCAAGCTTCATTTCTTGTAAAGACAACATCATGAATGGGAAACCAAGAGAACTTGATCTTATGCCATATGAAGGATTTCAAATAAGGCCATAGACCAAGTAACCCATAGAACATCAGATAGGAACCTAGCAATTTCTAACAAACTGATGAACAGGAAGAATGAATTGTTATTGAATTAACTGATTGAAAAGTACAAGAAACCCATAAACCCTAACAATGATGGTATTCAAGAGACCACCAACTCCCCCTAATCTTGGTTTCCCAAGCCCCAGATGAATCCCAAAATAATTCCACAAATCAAACATAAGCCCTCATGAGCTCCTAACCCCCTTATTTATACTAATTCCTACTAACTCTACCAGCCCACTAACAAAACTAATCCCAAGTTATTAACGGGTCCTAACAACACCATCCTTCTCCAAAGAGAAGTTTCATGTTTTGTTTATTAAGATAGTACTTTCAAATTCCAAGCGTTTGCATTTTCTTTACTCCCTGCATGGATAAGGTTGTGATTCGTATAATATATGAGTCAAACTCATTTTTGCTGCTATATTTATTGCATTAGCAAGGGTGAAATAATACATTCATCCACTTTGGTTACTCATTTACCATTGAATCAGAGAATCGACCATGAAAACTTAGGTTTATTTTTTAGCATGCTCAAGAGACACAAAAACAAATAAACTACGGGTACTTTCACAAACCAAAAGAAAGAAACTGAAAATTCATTGCAACAAAGACAACCATGCTTCCAAAACAGCAAACTGAAATGGAAAATAATGCACTTACGACCTTCGATATGTCAGCTCCAGGAGATGAGACATCATCATCATCATCATAATCGTTATCGACATTCTCCTCTGCACAATGGGAGGCAACTCATCCAGTTAATAGGAACAAAAAATCACGAAGCAAAAGCTAGATTTCTGTCTGCAGAAAGATACCATGCATATGATAGCTAATATCAAAACAGAACCACACAAATCGGTAAACATTCTTTATACTCATATGCATTGATTCTTACGTCAACGTGGAACCTATAACTTAGTAGCCATTACGAATTTGCATTTAACTGAAAAGGCTTAAAGGGTGCGACATTAGCAAAACATACTTAAGCAGGAGGTTCAATGTTTAGTGATAAATAAGCATAACTAAAGAGATTTTGCAAAGCAAAGTGTTAGGCTCCCACCAAATTATGTAACTAAAACTCGAGTAGCGGAATAGATTACTACAGATTCCATTACAAGGGAAAAAGAGAAAGAAAACAAAAAGAAGAAAAACAAAAACAATCTACTAACAGCTCTTAGTATAAGGACATAAATTTCTGACATGTTCCTCAGTAGGGGACCGTACAACACCAAAACCCTAAGTATACCTAAACCGCGAGACACAAAATTCTCCAAATAATTAGGTCAAAATTATCATTTCCCTTAATACACGTTACTTAGAAAAGATAAAGATTTTCTTCTGTTCTTCACTGATCATCAAAAATCTCAGACGGACAAATTAAAAGAGGAAAAAGTATCGAAACAAAACACAGATAGCCGAATTCCCTTTCCAAGTTCTCTATTTTCCTTCCATGGCTAAACTATCACGCACTACGCACCTGAACCGGAGTCACTCCCCGACGAGGAAGACGAAGATGATGACGAAGAAGAAGAATCTTGAGAGAAGACCGAGGAGATGAGCTTCCCAGCGCCGGTAGCGATCACACGAGTCGGCGAGAAAATGAGCTTAGAGATCCAATTAGGGTTCTCCGGTTCCGGATTGGCCAATCTCGGCCGGTCGTACGGGGTCCTCGGACCCGCGGTTCGCCTGGCTCGCACAATTTTCCCTCCCGACCGCGCTTCTAGGGCTCGCCGTGATCTGGAACTGGTCGCCATGGCAATAGTACACGACTTCCGTACAATATATATATATATATATAGAAAGAGAGAGAGAGAGGGAAAGATGGCGTCTTTCGCATCTCTGTTTAGAGAGAGAGAGAGACAGAGATCCGTTGGGGAATGGGGGTTTGCAGCGGTTGTTATTCGTTTCTTTTTTTTTTTTTTTTTTCTCGGTAAGGATCGGGATATGAAGGGACTTGAACCGTTAGATTAGTGACACGTCATCTCTATCGACGGGGGAAAATATTAAAAAAAAAGGGAATAAAAAACGCTCTCCTTCAAAAAATAAAGAAGAAAAGTAAAAAACGCTCCCAAAAAAAATAAGCTTTGTCGGCTTAACGATTACAATAAAATCTATTCAAAAAAAAAAAAAAACGACGACAAGAAATAATTGCTTGTTTTTTCTTAAAAATAATTGTTTAGTGTTTATTTGTTTGTATATTTAAATTTTAAATTATTAATTTTATTATAATATTTTTTTTATAAAAAATTTTAATTTTTAATGTGAGAATTAAAAATTATAATTTGAGTATATTTTTTAAACCGATCTTAATTTTTTTTAGAAGTGTGTTTATCTTAAAGTTATATCTAAAAAAATTCTCAAAAAATAAAGTTACATCCAAAAATTGTTTAAGAATAATAACAGGTTACCTCGGCATTTTCCAAAAAGCTGATCTTTGTAGAAGAATTGTAAAGTAATCAATGAATATAAAATCCACAAAATTGAATGTATTGTTTTTTTTTTTTTTTTTTTTTCAAAGCATGCGTGTTGGATTATTTATTAAAGTTTCTTTTTTCAGATTTATTGGTTTACAGAATTACCGAGAGGGTAAATTATACTCTTGCCAGCTTATTCTTTTGATTAACAATTATGAGAATTAGGGTGGCATCTGCATCCTTTAGATGAAAACTATTAAATATCAGTCAAAATTATTTTTTTTCCTATTGAACCGAATTTATTAACCTAGTTATAATTATGGGGAAAAGGACAACTTATCTATCTATTATAAGAAGCGTGGATGGGCATGAAGATTTCGTACTTCAACTTTTGCTTGCTTATTTTCAGTTTTTTTTTTTTTAATTTACTTTGCTTGCTTGCTTTAAACCTTTTTTTAAAAAAATTCTCTTTTTCAACTTTTTTTCCTTTCCATTGTCTTTAATTGTATTTTGAATGCAGTTCTTTTTTCTTCTTCTTTTTCAATCTTTTATGTTTCATTGTTTCCCACTAAAATATTTTTTCATTAATTTTCTCTTTAAACACCTTATTTTTTCTTACTTTCATTAATTTTCTCTTTAAACACCTTCTTATTTTTTTCTTACTTTCATAAATTTTTTTCACTTGTTTTGCTTGCTTTCAAACTGCTTCCTTTTTTTTTTTTTTTTACTTTATTCGCTTGCTTTCAAGTTTTTTGTATTTTTCAGCTTTTATCCTTTCCATTTTCTTTAATTGTATTTTAAATGTTGTTCTTTTCCTTCTTCTTTTTTAAATATTGTATTTTTCATTGTTTCCCATTAATTTTATCTTTTCATTTATTTTCTCTTCAAACACCTCATTTATTATTATTTTTACTTGTGAATATTCTCCATTACTATATATCTATACTCATAGTAGAGAAGATGTATATATTTTTTCAACTTTTTCTTCAACCATCATTGTTGATTTTCATAGAACCATAATTTTATTTAGGTTAAAATTTAAAACTTCCTAATAATTTAACTGTTATTGGAAAATTTTTATGATTACCATTTTTTAGTTTGAAAACAATTATAAGTTGTCTATATTTATTTATGTTTATCATTATTAAAACATTGTTTGCTTCCCTTAAAAAATACATGGTTAGCATTGACATAAAAAAGAATAATTCGAATTAATAACATATTTATTTATTTCTTTTTAAAGATATAATGAAAAAAATGTGTTTGTATTGAAACAGTACTCATCATATATAATAATTTTAAATAAATTTAAAAAAAATGCATAAACTCACGTGTTGTGGTTTTTCACTCTTAAGGGCATTTTCAGTTCTTAACACTTGGGAAATTTTCCTATATCTGGTTCTCTTGTCTACTTTACTAGCTTTTTTTTTTTGTATTAAATAGTTCCCGAAACACAATTATAAAAACTTCAAAAAATATATTACATGCACCACATTATTAAGATGAGTTTGGGAATTTGATAGGCTTTTTTTCTCCTCTCTTTTTTCATCTTTTTCTCTGTGAACAAAAGAGAAAAAAAAAAAAAACCAAATTCGTAGACTCGGCCGCAAATATTGAAGTTGTATTTTTTTTCTCTAAGATTAAGGTCTTATAATTTTTGTGTTGTACTTTTCAATTGGAATTGTTTTTTTAGAGAAAAACAAGAGAATTTGAGAGTTGGAAATCAGGAGATTTCCAACATTTCAAATGGTTATTTTATTTTATTGTGTGCTCATAGATTTACCAACCGATTGGGACCCAGTTTTATGTAATCTATTCTATGATACTCGGACATAGCAATATTCAAACAAACATAAAAAGTACACTCGTTTTTTATGGAAGGCTATAGCAAAAACCACAAAGTAGAACAATTCTCTTTTAAAAGTTCGATTGAAAAAAAGAAAAAAGAAAAAAAAAGAAGCTCGAAAGAAGAGAATTGAGATTGCGAACATCATTGGATGGTTAACTTTTGTTATTTTTCTTTTTTGGAAAAATTTCGCTTCAAATTTAACATATTACCTACTTAAAAATAGTCAACAATAACTATTAATTACAAAGAAATTTCACCCTAAACACTAACTAGATCCACCAGTGAATATGAATGAAGCACAATAACAAATACGAGTGTCGAGACCTAATGAGTAAAAGACATACTCGACACATTCAAAATCGAGTACGACCAAAATTCGTTACAGTTGATGGATAAAACCAGTCAACTAACACCAAATTCTGAATATAGGGGGCACAAGTAACATGACTTAAAAATAAATCTAAGAATAAACTAACGAATATACCGTCGATAACCAATTCAAACGGGTGAGACACACAAATAAAATCAAAATGGGGAAGCCACCTCAGTTATTTTAACACATAAACATAGCAAAAATAACAACGCCTTTATCATAAACAAAAAAAAAAAAAAGAACAAAGATAACTCCACAACAAAATGAGTCGTACCTAAATTTCCGATGAAGACACATTTCTTCTGTTGATCTAGCATAAGGTTAGATATGGGCCTACCCACCTCCAACCATGATGCCCTTGCATGGATCCTCTCTTAGAACGAGGCACATCAGTAACCTAAGACGGTGCCGGATGCCAGCCCTAATGGGAGAGGGAGATGGCGTTGCAAGCAAAATAATAGAAACTCCAATTATCGAGAGAGAGAGAGAGAGTTAACATCTAGTTGTGCTTGGTATGAATGAAGAAAAGATATATAATTCAGGTGAGGAGGAAAAGAAAAAAGATAAATGAGAGGATTTTTTTTTCTATTGTATTGGTATGTATTTACCCTTTAATCTCCCTGTGTTGAGAGAGATTAAGATGGGGGTTTGTTTTGAAATCCTTCTCCAATTTATTTTTCTCCTAGAGCCATTTAGAAGGTAGGTTTAAACTATTCAAATTTTTGAGATAAAACACTATAGCATAACTTTTCTTTTGGTGTTTTTTTTTTTAAATTTAATTTAAAAGTTCTTTTAATAATTTAAAAAACTTTTAAATTCAAAAATTTTTTTTAAAAAAGAAAACACCATTTGAATCTAAAATAAAGTGATTTGACCAATCCTCCAAACACACCTATTTTATCTCTTATTAAATAATGATATGTCCCAATTTCCTTCCATCATTTCTCCCAAATGTTTGTCTCCTTCTACTTCTCCCTCTAACCAGCAAGCTTTAAGAGAATCCATGTTCTTTTTCTGTTTCCTTCAGGTGGACAATGAAAAGAAGGGTGTTAAGTGGAACAAAACCAAAGTTCGGAGTAAGTAAAATGAGAAGTTTTAAAGTTATGAGATATAGGAGGAACAACCTTAAGTATGGGTGTGAATAATACTTTGTTAAACGTATTCTCAAACACCTAATTATTTTCTTAAGAAATTAAATTAATAAGCTACAAATTAAAAATTAAGGGAAAATTTCATAATACCATGTGTTTTAGCATAATAGAATTTGCATTTTAATAATTTTGAATTGGTATCTATGTTTTAAAAAATCATTGCTCACTACTTTAAGGTCATTTTTTAAGACGTAAAATGTCATTTCTACTTTTGTACTTAATAATTTTTTTTACAAACATATTAAGACCTCGTTCGTTTTGCTCATTCGAGTTAAGAACTTAAGTTAAAAAGTGAGTCCACATGAGAAAAAATATTGTAGTAGAAAAATAATTTGAACTTTTATGAGAAAAAACACAGAAACAAAAATTTGATTCATAATTCGAGCTAGTAAAACTAAGGAGGCCTAAAAATATTTTTAAAAAGCTTAAAATAGAAAAAAAAACAAAAACAAAACCTTCATCCAAACAAGCAAACTTACCAAAATTTTACTGATTTATCCATGTTCATGTTACCGATTCGAGTTTTATTACAATAAAAAATTTTAAAAAATAATCACATTTAATTTTTTTACTATAATAAAAAATTTTCACATAAAATTATATCTCAATTTAAATTAAAAATTTAAATCAATAAAATTAAACCGCTCTGTCATTTATTTTTATTTTCTGCCAAAGAAAAAGCTATTTACTTATTATTATTTATTTTTTGCGTACTGCCCAAATAATTATTCTTCTGAAATCACTCCCAAGTCCCAACCACGTCACCACAACATCTGACGCGGACGGTTGGGATTGCGCATTGCATGACGCCTCCTCACCTTGGAGTGGGACCCACGCCGTATGTTTATACTACGCCGTTTCACCGCCTACGACTACAAGCCGCGTGTTTTTCCGTCTCCTTATATCCCTTCGGCTAATTAGGGTTTATATTCCGCTTCTGTAAAACTGAAAACCTGTTTGGCTTTTCTCCCCATAGAAAGAAAATGCCGGGATTGACTTGTAACGCTTGCAACAAGGAGTTCACCGACG